GGGGCCCCCGCCGACGAGCTGGCGCCAGGAGGCCCCAGCGCCGCGGCGCCCGCCGCCGCCTCTGGCGGCGCCCCGCCGCCCACGCCGCAGCCAGCGGAGACGCCCTGTGGCGGGGCCTCGGCGGCCGCCCGCGGGCCGCCGCTGGGCAAGCTCGGCTCCGTCGGCGGGCCCCCGCTGCTCGCCCCCCTCGGGGGCGGCGCCGCGGGGCTGCCGCCGCTGAGCCTGCTGCCGCCGATGCCCCCGCCGCGCGGCGCCTCCGGGAGCTAGCGGGACCCGCCGTCCGAGCTGCCCGCGCGGGGCGGCCGCGCCTCGGAGGCCGGGCCGCAGGCGAGCTCCGCGGCCGCCGCGCCGCCCCGCCTGCCCGAGGGCGGCGCGGCGGGCCGCGACGGCGACGCGCCGCGGGCGCCCGGGGAGCCCCCCCGACGGCTCCCGCCGCCGCCGCGGGCGCCGCGGCGCGGGGAGAGCCGCGGGCACCTCCGGCGGCGGAGGGCGGCGCGCTGGGCGGCGCCGGCTCCCCGGCGGCGCCGAGCGCGGAGGCCACCGCGCGCAGCCCTCCGCGGAGGCCGCCCGCCGGCGCCGCGGCGCTCGGCCCCGGGCCGGCGCGCCCGGAGGCCTGCGGGGAGGCCGCGGCGGCGCCCGCGGAGGGGCAGCCGGAGGACTGCAGAGAGCCGGCGCCCCCACAAAAGTTGATGTGTATCTGTCAGTCGGGGGCGGCAAACCCAGACCCCCTCGGCTCATGAAAAAATCACGACGGGAGGTTTTTTGCTATTTTCGGCCTCCGGGGGCCCTCGCCGGGCCTCGGGAGCGTCAAAAAACGACTCAGGATGAAGAGCCGGTCCCAGGTAATGGGTCGGGACCTTTGGGGGTCGCGTCATGAAAAAATCATGACGTCGGGGGTCTGGGAAGAGGGGGGGTGATGACTATAGGGGGGGCGTATCGGAGGTGAGGGGGTGGAGATCGAAGTGGAACGGAGAGCCCCCCTACCGGGAAATCGGTTTCGGTTTCGTGTTCGCGCGTGCCCTGCGTGCGGGCGAGGCGAAGCTGCGTGGGCGGGCGAGAAGTGTCCCGCCTCTGGCTGAGGCGCGGCCGGACCAAATGTTTCCTGTCCGGGGGACCAGTAGCGCGCGGTGTCCCGCTGGTGTCCCGTCGGTGTCCCGATGATGATGATGATGATGATGATGATGATGATGATGATGATGATGATGATGATGATGATGATGATGATGATGATGATGATGATGATGATGATGATGATGATGATGATGATGATGATGATGATGATGATGATGATGATGATGATGATGATGATGATGATGATGATGATGATGATGATGATGATGATGATGATGATGATGATGATGATGATGATGATGATGACGATGATGATGATGATGATGATGATGATGATGATGATGATGGCCATGGTAGTGATGATGATGGTGTCCCGATGATGATGATGCTGATGATGCGTATGTTGCTGATGATGATGGTGTCCCGATGATGGTGATGATGATGATGATCCTGATGATGGTGATGATGGTGAGATGATGAGATGATGATGAAGATGATGATGATGATGATGATGATGGTGATGATGATGGTGTCCCGATGATGATGGTGATGATGAGGTTGATGATGATGCTGTTAATGATGATGATAATGGGAATGATGATGGTGTCCCGCTGACGATGATGACGATACTGACGATGATAGCATCCCGATGATGATGAGGATGATGATTAGGTGGTGATGATGATTGTGATGATGGTGGCCCGATGATGGTGATGATGATGATGATGATGTTGACGATGATGATGGTTTCCCGATGATGGTGATGTTGGTGATGATGATGTTGCTGATGACGATCATGGTGTTCCGATGATCATGATGTTGATGATGTTATTCATGATGATGATGATGAGATGATGATGATGATGATGATGATTATGATGATGATGATGGTGTTCCGATTTTGATGATGGGGTCCCGATGAGGATGCTGCTGATGATGATGATGGTGACGATGATGGTGTCCCGATGATGATGGTGATGATGATGATTTTGATGATGATGGTCATGGTGGTGATGATGACGGTGTCCCGATGAGGTGATGTTGATGATGCGTATGTTGCTGATGATGATGGTGGTGTCACGATGATGATGATAATGCTGTTGATGATGCTGATGATGATATGATGATGATGATGAAGATGATGCTGGTGATGATGATGGTGTCCCGATGATGATGAGGTTGATAATGCTGTTGATGATGGTGATGGTGATGATGATGATGATGATTGATGGTGCCCCGATGATGATGTTGATGATGATGATGACGATGCTGGTCTCCCGGTGATGATGATGATGAGGAGGAGGATGAGGATGAGGATCATGATGAGGTGATCATGATGATTTTGATGATGGTGGCCCGATGATGATGGTGCTGATGTTGATGATAATGGTTCCCCGATGATGATGCTGATGATGATGGTGATGATAATGGTGATGATGACGATGATGGTGACGATGATGATGGTGTCCCGATGATGATGTTGATGCTGATGTTGCTGATGATGATGATGACGATGGTGTCCTGGTGGTGATGATGTCGATGATATCTTCATGATGAGGATGAGATGATTATGATGGTGGTGTTTCGATGATGATGATTTTGATGATGGGGTCTCGATGATGATGATGATGATGATGACGATGATGGTGGTGACGATGATGGTGCCCCGATGATGATGGTGATGATGATGATGATGCTGATGATGATGATGATGTTGATGGTAATGGTGATGAGGCGATGATGATGATGGTGCCCCGATGATGATGAAGATGATGAGGATGATGATGATGATGATGTTGATGACGTTGATGACGATGATGTTGATGACGTTGATGACGATGATGTTGATGATGCTGATGACGTTGATTGTGAGATCGGTTGTGATATCGATAGTGAGATCGATAGTGAGCCCGAATGTGATATATATTGTGAGATCGATAGTGAGATCGATTGTGAGATCGATTTTGAGATCGATCGAATGAAATAGATCGAGTGAGATCGATTGTGAGATCGATCGAGTAAGATCGATCGAGCGAGACCGATCGTGATATCGATCGTGAGATCGATAGTGAGACCGATCGAGTGAGACGTTGGTTCCTCCCCCCCGAACCTCCTTATCACCCGAAGGGTGGTCGTATATGTATCATGGCGTGGGCCATGCTATTTCCCCAGATTTCATGGCGCCTCTTCTTATTTAATCGCTTCGCTCATTCCGCCGGCCCATACAGTCTCATGTCTGCCGTTTGCCCGAGGGCCTGGTGTCAATGCGGCGCTTTGGGGGTTCCTGGGGCCGCTTGGGGGACTCCTGGGGCGCTCGGGGGGGCATTTGGGGGGCCTCCTGGGGCCGCTTGGGGGACTCTTGGGGGCCTCCTGAGGGCCCCGTGGGGGCCTCTTGGGGCCTCTTAGGGGCCTCGTAGGGGCTTCTTAGGGCCGAGGGCTCGAAATGTTGTTTCGTGTTCCCTCTCTGGGGCCCCTTTGGGGGCGTTCTTGGGGCCCTCTTGGACCGTTTTGGAGGCTTCTTGGGCCGTCTTCGAGCCCTCTTGGGCCATCTTGGGGCCCTCTTGGGTGCCTCTTGGGCCCTCTTGGGGCGATCTTGGGGGCCTCTTGGGCCGTCTTGGGGCGTCGGGAAGCCGAAAAGGTGGAAGCTCCAAAATCTCTCAAAAACCTATGGAAAAACAATGATTTTTGCCTCCGGGGGCCCTATTGGGAGTGCTCTTGGAGGCCTCTTGGGGCGTCTGGGGGCTATCTTGGGCGTCTTGGAGCGATCTTGTGGCATGTCGGACCCCTCGTGTACCATCTTGGGGGCCTCTTGGGGGCCTCTTGGCCTTTCTTGGGGCTCTCGGGGACGTCTCGGAGCCCTGTTGGTGCGCTCATGGAGCGCTCGGGGGGACCCGGCCGGGACCCGGCCGGGGGCCGGCCGGGACCTGGTCGGGGTACTTTTCGTCCGGGGACCCCCAGGGGCCGCCCCGCGCGCGCGAACTAGAAAATTGTTAACCAGTTACCGGAGATCTTAGCACGCCTCTGGCCCGTTGGGCCGGCGAATTTCATTACGTCCCTGGCCCCTCCCCCTGGGCCGCGCACGTGCTGCAGGCCATTATTTGCACCCCCCCTCTTGGACGCTCCCTTCTTGGCCGCCCCCGAGTCAAGCAGTGGCAAAGCGTCCTGGCTCGCCTATAGGCCTACCAAAGACTGTTCTAAGAATCTGCATGTTGTTTGCACGAAACGTTCTTATATTCATAAGCAAGACTGTCTTAACCACAAACGTTCTTATAATCTTAGAACATTTCTGGTTGAAGCTGTCTTGTTTTAACACATCGGGTTAATGTGTTACGAACACTGTCTGTGTTTGTCGAACATGGTGTGGTTTCAAGAGCATTTTGTGGTAGGACTATAGGAATGCCGGGACGGTCGGTCCCTGCTCAATTATGACGTTTTTCCTTTCTCGGTGATCCTCGCATGCCTCGATGCTGCGGGCGATGGGCTCGAGGCTGATGTCGTCCGCTCCCGGCACTGGTGCTGGTGCACGCCACGCTCCCCTCCTCTGGCCAGTGAGCCGTTTAGCCAGACTTGCTACGGAAGGGAAGCGAGACGAGGGTGACCCAGAGATCCGCCGCTCCAACAAAATTGGAGCGGCGGGACTTTGGGCAGTTTGCGGCCTCCAGGGGCCCTCGCCGGGCTTCGGCCCTATACAGTCAACCCGCATAGTATGGATAGGCAACCTTCCCAAGAGTACCCTTGCATCCTTGCCTCCTCGGTCCATCCTTCGACGCTTTGCGGGCCGCGCCCCGCTCGAAGGGCCTCGAAATGGGCGTCCAAGGCCCTTGCATCCTTATCGCGCATCCTTCCTGTACTGGTTGACTGTAGGGAAGTGGTCGGGACTTCCAGGGCCCACGCATCGGAAGAATCATGGAGCAGCCGGATGTCTGCAGGAGGAGCGGCGGAGGCTGCTGGAGCTGGGGAGTCCGGAGACGCCTCCGCTGGCCTCGGTGCTCGCCGCGGAGCTGAGGGAGGAGGGCTCCAGGGAGAAGCTTCTCAGCCAGCTCTGGTCGCAGCTCGACGCTGGCGAGCCGTCCGCCGCGCGGCCCGGCAGTCCGCGCAGGGTGTCTGGCGCCCCGGCCACCTCTCTGGAGCTGTCGTCCCTCAGTGCAATCGCCGAGCTGTCGCCTTCGCCGCGGGGCGGAGCAGACGACTCGCGGCGGGCAGGCATCGAGCAGCCGCGCGCATGGCGCGGCATGCAGGCCGTCGACCGTGAGCTGCTGGAGCTGAAGCCTGCGCCCGTGCTGGCGACCAGCACGGGAGGGGACGGCGGGATGCTGGCGGCAGCGGCTTGCGAGGACGAGTTCGCTCTGGAGGGCACGCTGAGGCACGGGGAGCTCAACGCGGACTTGCAGGTGTCGGGCCCGTTGCCGGAGGGCTTCGGCACGAGGACGGTCACGCTGCGGCAGTGCTGGGGCGGCGGCGGCGAGGGTGTCGGCGCCACGAGCCTGATCGCGCAGCTGCAGAAGGAGCTGGGCGCGCTGGCCTCGCGCCTGCAGGTCGTGGAGGGGGCCCGGCCAGGCGATGTCAGCCTGCAGAAGCCGAGAGTGCAGCTCGGCGCGCTGAAGCTCGGCGGGCCACTCGGCGCAGGCGAAGAGGCCGTCGAAATCGCTGGCGCGGAGCGGCGCCTGCACGAGGCCGCCCGGGAGCTGCAGAAGGAGCGGGTCGAGCACAGCGCCACCAGGGCTGCCCTCCGGGAGGCCCAGCGGGACGCCCTCCGGCTGCAGGGCGAGCTGCGGCACAGGGAGGCCGAGGTCGAGGTGGCCGGCGCGGAGGCCCGCCGCGCGCAGGCCGAGGTGGAGGGGCGCGAGGAGGAGCGGCGCAGGCTGCAGCTGCAGCTGCACGCGCGGGACGCCCAGCTGGGCCAGCTGCGCGCCGAGCGCGACGGGCGGGCGCGACTGGACGAGCAGGCGGTGCACCAGCAGCGGCTGGAACTCCAGCACCGCGAACAGGTGCTCACGGACTGGGAGCGCTTCTTGCGCGAGAAGGAGCGCCTCGCCGCGGAGGCCGAGCAGCGCTTGCACCGCCGCGCGCGCGAGCTGCGCACCAGCGAGCACCAGCTGGAGTTGGGCGGCCTGCGGCGGGCGCTGTCCGAGGGGGGCTGCGCGGGCTCCAGGTCGCCGCGGCTTTCGCGCGCAGGCCCAACGGCGCCTGGCTCATTGGCCTCCCCGCCACTGTTCACAGCGCGCGGCGGCAGCGAGGGCTATGCTGCGAGCTGCGGCGCGGAGCAGCCGTCCACCGCACGGCGCCGCGGCAGGCCAGATTCGGGCGTTGGCGGCTTCGGGCCGCAGCTGGCAGGCAGGAACGGCGACCCAGGGCCCCCGCAGGCCGCCTTCGACGCGCGCGGCTCCGCCTTCTCGACGTTGTCTTTCCGCGACGAGCTGCTCGAGCTGGGCAGCGATGGCGAGGTGGGGGCTGGCAAGCCGCACGGCGCCGCGCGCCAGATCTCCGTGGCAGCCGCTGCGCATAAACAGCCGGCATGCGCTGGCACACCGCCTGCCATCGCGCGGGCAGGCCCCACTGCGGACCCCGCAGCCATGGAGGCCCTGCGTGCGCGGCGGCGCGAGCTGCGCCGCGAGGCCGCGGAGCTGGAGGAGGAGCGCCACCGCTGGCGGGGCGAATACCGCCGCAGCTGCCGCGACGGCTCCGCGCATCCCGGGCTTGCCGAGGGTCTCGCCGACGCGCGCGCAGCCCTGGACGCGCGCGCCGCGTCCCTGAACGAGTCCATCGCCGAGTACCGGAGCCTCGAGAAGCGGCTGCTGGGCCCGCACCGCCGCTGCAGCGGCCCCGCCGCCGCGGCGGCCTCGAAGGCGCGGCCCGCGGCCGCGTGCGGGGCGGCGGCGGCGCCTGACCTCGCGTCGGGTGGCTCGTGCGGTGGCCGCAGCCCCCGGGGGGTGCCACCGGAACCTGGAGGCGCGCGGCGCACCAGCGGCGTCCAGTTGCTTTGCCACAGCGGCGTGCCGACGTCGTCGCTTGGCGGGGCGTGAGCGTTCAGCCTCGCGAGGAGGCCCCAAGGGAAAGGCAGGAGGCCAGCCATAGGAGGAGGAGGCGGAGGAGGAGGAGGAGGAGGAGGAGGAGGAAGAAGAGGAGGAGGAGGAGGAGGAGGCAGGGGCGGGTAGGGAGGACGGAGCCGAAAAGGGGTAGGGAGGACGGAGGCAGGAGGATGGGGGAGGAGGAGGAGGAGGAGGAGGAATGAAGGACGGAGGAAGGAGCCGGAGGGCTTTGGGGACGATGAGTAGGGATGAGGGAGAACGAGGAGAAGGGAAGAGGAGCAGCAGGAGGAGGATGAGGAGGAGAGTTGTAGAGGAGGAGGGGGAGGGAGGAGGTGAGAGGGTCAGAGGAGGAAGGAGGAGGAAGAGGGAGGATGTCAAGAGAAGAGGAGGAGGAGAAGAAGGAGGATATGGGGAGCACAAGGAGAAGGAGGAGTAGGAGGAGGAGGAGGAGAAATAGAGGAATGAGGAGGGAGGAGGGATGAAGAGGAGGACCTTGCCGCGCGGCGGCCTGATTTTTGCCAATTCGGACGCCCAGTTGCACGATGATGAAGGGGCTGTCAGAGAGCAGTGCGGCCAAGATGAGGCTTGACCCATCGCTGGCCAAGTTTGCACTTCGCGTTCTCAAAATGGACAGGCAGATGATCGCCCCATACACGGCCTGCTTTTGATCTATGGCTGTCTGACCGCAGCTCTCGCCCCATACCGACATCCCCCCCCTGTGATTTTCAATAGAGCATGTTGCAGTGGCTCCTGCTGTCGGAGGCACTATTCCTCCCACGTCTCTGTATGTTGCCCTCTCTCCTACACCTCCATCGCTGCCTCATGTTATTGTGCTATGTTCTCGGAGAGGGTTGAGCTCCTCGTTGTCTTCGCCTTGCGGCCGTGTAGTGTTTTAAGGTCCCATCAGATGGTCGCTGGGGGTCATGGGGCACGACGCGCGTGAGGAGTGTGCCGGAATGATGCTCCCTTTAGCCGTCCAGATTGAGGGGCAGCTGAGTTTTTGTTTCAGGGCGTATGGGTCAAAGTGCGTGAGGCATGCCCCGGATTGATGTTCCCTTGAGCAGTATTGAGAGCCAGCTGGGCTCCTCTGAAGATCCATGGTGCAAGAAGTGCGCAAGGGGTGTTCCGAATTGACACTCGCATGACAACTGAAGGGCCATTCCCTTGTAATTAGGCGTATCCCAGATGCCTGAGGGCCCAACGCAGTAGTATTTACACGTGCCCAAGATGCTTTACTGCGCAGGTCACTGGTATGGTTGTTGTGTCCCAGTGGAATCGGTGGGCGGAACACGGGAAGCCGCGGCATCATGCACGTCGGCGGGTCCCCTGTGGACCCAGCGGCCTTGATCGAGGTTCGACGGTAGGTGATGACATGATGGCGAATGCATGGTGCAGCGGAGACCCATGCCAAGAAACACCTTGCCTGCCTCCAGGGTGCCCTGGGTTTCTTTGGGTCGCGATGGTTTTGCTATGGGAAGGGTGACGTGCCCACACCAGGAATCAATGGTCGCAGGCGACGTTTCTATCCCGACCCCCGACTTTTCGACGAAACATGGAGCGGCTCAGAAAGGAGGGAAACCTTGGGATACACCCCCAGGGGGCTATTCGGACGCACCCCTATTGAGGATGGACGCCCCCCCTCGTACATCCCAGGGTTGGGCCCCAATTTTTTTGGCCCACTCGAAAACTCCACGAAGCCTGGGATTGGGGTCGACATATCCCCTGTTAAATGGACTTCCTGGGGCCTCAGGGTTTGGTCTCTTGTGGAAGGCCTCTCGAGGACTGGCCTCCACTGCCGTGGGAAGACGCGTCAGCGCACGCTGGGAGCGGCTTCGCACACTCCGCCGGTCAGTCTTCCTCTTCCTCTTCCTCTTCCTCCTCCTCCTCCTCCTCCTCCTCCTACTCCTCCTCCTCCTCCTCCTCCTCCTCCTCCTCCTCCGCCTCCGCCCCGATGGGATATTACTGGCCACGCGCAGAAGGGGGTAGGGGGAGGGGGGAAGGCTTCATAGAAGCACCCCTGCTTCTTAGAAGGCGCGGGCCTTCTTTGTAGATGTAAGGCCGGCGCCTTCTGAGAAGCAGCCTCCTTCTAAGAAGCCTTCCCCCCTCCCCCTACCCCCTCGTGCGCGCCGCCAAGATATGCCGGAGCTGTGCCGGGATGCCTGGGCGCCGGCTTGAAGCAAGATCGGCACCTCATGCGAGGACGGGGGCGCGAACTCGGTGCAGTTTTCCATGGGGATGTGCCTCGGGGGTGCGGATCCTGCGTCATGTACCAAGGATCGTGGCTTCGAGGGGGCGGATCTGGTGTACTTTCCAAGGGAGTATGGCCCCGTGGATGCGAATCTCAAGTATTTCCCCACATCCAGGGTGGGGTTCTTGTTTTCTCTGGACACCCTCCGCGCAGGAACCTCACCTCCCTCCCACTCTCCGCCTCACTCACGCATTCACTCCGTCATCGGTCATCATCACCATCGGTCATCATCACCATCGGTCATCATCACCACCACCATCATCATCATACTCAGTCACTCACCATCGATCACCCTCACCATCGGCCATCGATGATCATCATCATCATCAGCAGCAGCATCAGCATCAGCATCAGCATCAGCATCACCACCACCGCCATCATCATCATCATCATCATCATCATCATCATCATCATCATCATCATCATCATCATCATCATCATCATCATCGTCATCATCATCATCATCATCATCATCATCATAATCATCATACTCAGTCGCACATCACAAACACACACACACACACACACACTCTCTCTCTCTCATCACTCAGCATCATTTTCTCTGGACGCCTCGCGCAGGAACTCGGGCCTGAATTTGGAGGAAGTATCAGGCGGGAGCCTCGTCTGTGAGCGAATTGTGAGGAAGTCTCGGGCGGGAGCCCCCTCCCTATGGGGCCTGCATTTCATGTTGGCAATCCGAGCGGGTCATCCTCATCCGTGTAACTGTCGTCACTTTGGGGTTCCTGAGGCTTGAATATGGGGAAGTATCGGGCGGGAACCTCGTCTCTGAGTGAACTGCGAGGGAGTCTCAGGCTGGAGCCCCCTCCTTATGGGGCCCGCAGATCATGTTTTTGAGGAAGTCTCAGGCGGGAGCCCCTCCCGGGGGGGGCCGCACTTCATGTTGGTAATCCGAGCGGGTCATCCTCATCCGCGTAACTGTCGTCACTTTTGGGTTCCTGAGGCCTGACTATGGAGGAACTAATAGGCGAGAACCTCGTCTGTGCCTGAATTGCGAGGGAGTCTCAGTCGGGAGCCCCCTCCCTATGGGCCGCACAGCTCACGCTTACAATCCGAGGCGGGTCATCCTCATCCGTGTAACTGTCGTCGCTTTTGGGCTCCTGGGGCTTGGATATGGGGGGAAGTATCAGGCGGGAGCCTCGTTTGTGAGTGAATTGCGAGGAAGTCTCAGGCGGGAACTCCCTCCCTATGGGGCCCGCACTTCCCGTGCTTCCTCCGGGTCGTCCTCTGGGACGTCCTCCAGCGCGCGCTTCCTCTGGGTCGTTCCGGCGCGTATATCTTGGGACGCCCGTCGTGCGCTTCCTCTGGGTCGTGTCCCGCACGAGGAGGAGGAGGAGGAGGACGACGAAGGAGGAAGGAGGATGCAGGACGAGAAAGAGAAGGAGGAAGAGGAGGAGGAGGAGGCAGAGGGCGAGAAGGACGAGGAGGACAAGGAGGAAGAGGAGTGCCTTAGGAGGCCCCAGGATGTCCCGGGAGGCCGAGAAGGCTCCAGGAGGCCCCAAGAGGCGATGCAGGAGGCCTAAGCAGGAGGCAGGAGGAGGAGGGAGAGGAGGAGGGGGAGGAAGATGGAGACGAGGAGGAGTAGGCGGAGGAGGGAGAGGGAGAGGAGGAGGCGGGAGAGGGGAGGAGGAAGAGGAGGAGCAGGAGGAGGAGGAGGGAGAGGGACAGCAGGAAGAGGGGGACGCGCGAGGCATGAGGAACAGGGGGAATGGGAGGAAGAGGCATAACGAAGAGGAGGGAAAGGAGGAGGAGGAGGTGGTGGAGGAGGCAAGAGGAGGAGGCAGGGGCTGAGGCAGGAGGAGGAGCAGGCAGGATCAGGCAGGAGGAGAAGGATGAGGCAATAGAAGGTGTGAGAAAGGAGGGGTCAGCAGGATATCCCCAGGAAAGATAAACATATTCGCATGTGGGTCCTACCGTCGGAGTAAGTTCATGTGTCGCAGTGTCGCCCCCAGGAATTCTGAGAACCAAGAGAGGCCGTGAAAACCAGGGTAGATTTCGGTTCCCCCATATCTCGCGGGTCAAGACCAATTTCAGGATGTATACCTATACGACCGCCCTGCGGGCGATAAGGAGGTTGGGGGGGGGATTGAGATCAGGCGGACGGAGGGAAGCCATGTGGCGGCTTCCGAAAGGCAAGGGCGCCGTACGCTCGAGCCTCGCAGTCTGCCGCGATCGCGCCCAGGCGCCGCCAAAAATGAAGTGATGGATTGGGTTGGGTGGATTGGATTGGATGAGATAAGATGGATGGGATAAGATTTGATCGGGTGGATTGGAAGATATGTATTGGATCAGATAAGATAGATTGGCTTGTCCCGCCGCAGGCGCAGAAACAAATGAATTGATGGAGCGGGTTGGATGGATTGGATTGGGTGGGATCAGATAAGATGGGGCAAGATGGTTGAACAAGATAAGATGGATTGGATGGGGCAAGATGGATTGGATAAGATCAGCTGGATTGGAAAATCAAGCCCGCCGCAGGCGCCGACGATAATGAATTGATGGGTTGGGTTGGGTGGGTTGGATTGGATGGGATAGGATGGAATGGAAAAGTTAAGATGGGATGGATTGGAAGAGATGGATCGGATAATAGAGGTTGGATTGGATTGGCCCGCCGCAGGCGCAGAAACAAGTGAATTGATGGATTGGTTGGGGGGATTGGATTGGGTGGAGTAAGCTAAGATGGGACAAGATGGGTTGGATGAGATAAGATGGATTGGATTGGGCAAGATGGATTGGATAAAATACGCTGGATGTGTTAAGAAAGCTCGCCGCAGGCGCCGGAAAAAATGACTTATGAAATTTGCGACACGCGTTAGCGCCGGGACGCCCGGGACACACGGGACACCTGGGACACCGCCCGGCCCAACCGGGACACCTCCCGGCCACCGGCGGACGGGAAACGGTATTTCGCTCCTACTGGCGCTCGGGACACCCAGGACACCGCCTGGCCCAACTGGGGCGCCTCCCAGCCACCGGCGGACGGGAACGGACTTTCGCTCCTACTTCGGCCTAGCTACAGGAGGATCACGCGCAGCTTCGCCTCGCCCGCACGCACGACACGAACGCGAAACCGAAACAGCTTTCCCCGTGGTGGGTCCCCGTTTCACAGCGATCTCACCCCCCCAACCTCCAATCTATGTATATACATATATACACACACATCGAAGTGGCAGCGTCTGGCTCCGAGCGCACCAGGCTGGCAGCACCTGGCTTTTTGCGCACCCGTAGGCGAACCGACTCGTCTAGGAATGCTGCCACCCGCACCCCCTTCCGCCGCTCCCCCCCCCCCAGCGAATTCAGCCGCCCCCCCCCCCAGCAGCCAAGTATGGATGAGGACCCCGCCCCGACACCTGGGTAACGCCAGGCACGTTTGCGAACGCGTCGTGGAACTCCTGGCCCGTCGGGGTGCGCCTCAGGGTCAGCTCGACGAAACCGGCCAAAGAGTGCGGGGAGTATTCGGACCGTTGCGCTTCCCTGCGCGACCCTGGGTCGGCCGCACCAGTCAGGGCTGGCAGAGCCTGGCCCGCGCCACCGCTCCCAGGGCTGGCAGCGCCTGGCCCCGGGAACGCCGCGCGGAGAATGCGCGCCGCGGGAGACGCCATGGCAGGCGGACGGAGGGACGCCATGGGGCGGTTTCCGAAAGGCAAGGTCGCCGAACGCTCGAGCCTCGCAGCGTGCCGCGATCGCGCCTAGGCGCCGCCAGATTGGATTGGATGGGATAAAATGGATTTGATGAAATAAGATAGGTTGGATTGGATGACGTGGATTTGATAATATAAGATGGATTGGATTGGCCCGCCGCAGGCGCAGAAACACATGGATTGATGGATTGGGTTGGATGGATTGGGTTGGATGGGATCATATAAAAAGGGGCAATATGGGTTGAATAAGAAAATCTGGTTTCTATTGGACACTATGGATTTGAACTGATAAGCTGGATTGGGTCAGAAAGTCCGCCGCAGGCGCCGACAAAAATAAATTGATGGGTGGATTAGATTGGCTGGGATACTATGGATGGGATAAGGTAAGATTGGTTGGATAGGAAGAGATGGATTGTACAATATAAGATGGATTGGACTGACTCGCCGCAGGAATTGATGGGTTGGGTTGGGTGGATTGGGTGGGATAAGATATGATGGGACAATATTGATGGGATATGATATGATGGATTGGATGGGGCAAGATGGATTGGACAAGATAAGCTGGATCTGGTAAAAAAAAACCCGCCGCAGGCGCCGAACAAACATGAATCATGAAATTCGCGGCGTGCGCTAGCGCCGGGACGCCCGGGGCACTCGGGACACCTAGGACACCGCCTGGCCCAAGTGGGACACCTCCCGGCGACCGGCGGACGGGAAACGGATTGTCGTTCGTAGGGGCACCCGGGACACCGCCCGGCCCAACTGGGACACCTCCCGGCCTCCGGCGGACGGAAACGGATTTTCGCCCCTACTTCGGCCTAGCTACAGGGGGATCACGCGCAGCTTCGCCTCGCCCGCACGCGCGACACGAACGCGAAACCGAAACCGATTTCCCGGCGGGGGGTCTCCGTTTCACGGCGATCTCACCCCCCAACCTCCGATCAGTCTAAAAAATCTACGGCGAATCGCCGCCGCCCGCTGCCTTTTGGAAGCGCCCATGCGGCCCATGCGGCCAAACGTTGGGCTGAAGTCTGGCCACTGCATGTTTCCCCAACCGTTGTGGAAGTTCTTTTGGGGAAACTGCGGAAAAGAAGGCATATGTGGGGGAGAGGGAGGATATGAAAGAGGAGGAGGAGGAGGAGGAGGCGGAGGAGGAGGAGGAGGAGGAAGAGGAAGAGGCCTCTTGCGGCCCCTTGGAGGCCTCCCGGGGTCTTTTCGCGGGGTTTTCGGCGGCCCTTACAGGCCTCCTAGAGGGAGGGGGGGAAGGAGGGGAAAGGAGGAAAGGGGGGAGGAGGAGGAGGATGCATCTTGTAGCGTCTTGGGGTCCTTTTGGGGCCTCCTCGGTCGGAGCTTCCTGTGGGCATCTTGGGGTTACGTTGGGGCCTGTTGGGGACCTCTTAGGGGCCTCTGTGGGACCTTTTGGCCTTCGGAAACCGTCGTGTTGGGGCCCGCTGTAGGGCGGTCTTGAAGGTCTCTCGGGCAGTCTCGTGGGTCTCTTGTGCCGTCTTGGGGCCCTCTTGGGCCGTATTGCGGGCCTCTTGAGGGCCTCTTGGACTGGCTTGGGGCGCGATCTTGGGGGCCTATGAGCCCGAGAAGGCCAGAATGCGTCCATCACTGTAAAACAGCCCAAGGAGCATCAACCATTTTGGCCGATTGGCTTTAGAAGGAGTTGCCTAGCCATGTGGCGAGCAGGAGCGAGCGCAACGTGCGTGAAGTGAGCTGTCCACGGCGCGCCCATCTCACGTTGCACAACTCCTTCGGCTGATTTCTTAAGTGGTCCGTGCGGCGACAGATCGATGTTGCGCATCTGTCCGCGACGGGCCCGTTGCCGCCGCACTGGGGATATCTGGTTGGGGCGGAGCCACTCACGAGCCTGCTAGTGGCCTCTCATGCGCTTATTATTCCTTCGGAGCTGTCTTGTACAAGTTTGGGCCACCTTGGGGTCGTCACGGAGCCTCTGGGAGCCATCTTGGGGCTGGCCTCCCTCTGGTCCCCGCTGTACGGCCGTTCCTGTGCCCTCTAGCGGGTTTTTGGAGCCCTCTTGGGTTGCCGAGGCCCTCTTCGGAGTCTTTCGTGGCCATCGAGGCACCATCCGGGGCCCGAGAACCCAACGGCAGCCCGCAGAGGCAGGAAGGCAACCATACATCGGAAGCGCAGCAAGACACCAGACGCCCTGTGTCGGGGCACCTTGGGCTACTCCGCTGCGCGTGTTGCGCGATGACTTCCTGCGGGCGTTGAGAAGCTGCTGCGTCCCGGGTGCCGCAGTCTCCCTCAATTCAACCTCGCGCGCGGATCTTCGGGGCTGGATCTCTCGCGCTGGTTTCTCGCGACCGCCGTTGCACTGCACTCGAAGCACACGTGCTTTATTGTGGTCATGGCCATCTTGGGAGCATCTTGTCGGAGGGCACCACCTATACACCAACACCGATCTTGGCCCAGGATCACCCTGGGCCCAGGATCGGTGTATATGCCTTCTTGCGCAAGGCAGGAGGGCGTATACACCGATCCTGGGCCCAGGGCGATCCTGGCCAGGATCGGTGTTGGTGTATAGTTGGTGCCTTCCTATCTTGGGACATGCTCTGTCCTCTCCTCCCCTCCGCTCCTCTCCCCGCGCCCCGCCGTGCCCCCAACTCGCTTCCGGCGCATCCCGCCCCGTTGCCCGGCCAGCGCCTGCTCCCGCTCCGGCGCGCTGGCGCCCGCTGCCTTGAAGCATGATTTCTCGTCCTCTGACTCGCGCTCCGCAGGCCACCGGGAGCGTCGGACGGGGCCCTGTGCAGTCCACTGGGCCGCCCTGGCGCCCCAATCCCGGAGCCAGCTCCAGGACCTCGTGGGGCCGTCGTAGGGCTTGGCGCGCTTCCGGCCCGTGCTCTCTCTCGGGGGAGGGGGGGGGGGGGCCGCCCGCTCCCTCTGCGGGCTCCCGCCCGCTCGCCGTGCCCGGTGAGGTCCGCAGATCTTCCGGGGCCGTCCTCCCTCGTCGCGTGGGCTGGACGCACACAGCTATCCTTAAAGTCGGGCATGTCCCTCTACATGGGGAATTTTCAAAAATATGATAAAAATAGTCTGGGGCCTATTTTCGAAAATATGTGTTGACAATTTGGGAGTATTTTTTGAGTACGTATTTTTATTTTTTCGTCGAAAATCCCCCTGCATGGAGACGCGCCTGTTACCCGCTGGGTCGGCGAATACCGCTTTCCCCCCCCCCCCCGCCCTCTTGCTGTTTGCGAGGTGGCGAACAGCCCGCGATCGAGGACGCCACTTCTCAGTTCAACTGTCTTGCAGTCTCGCTTGTTTGCTTGTTCTTGGTTTGAGCTCACCTGCACGTGCCCCGTGATTGGTATAGTCAACCCGCATAGTAAGGATGAACAACTTTCCAAGGCTACCCTTGCATCCTTGCCCCGCCAGCCCATTCTTAGCGACTTTCGCTGGCCAGCCTCGTTCGAAACACGTCAACATGAGCCTCCAAGGCCCTTGCATCTTTACCGCACATCCTTGTTATACGGGTTGACCGTATCGCATCACGACTCTGTTATGGTAGTGTTGGTGGCGCCGCAGGTCTGATTTTGCAAGAGAGTGCATATACAGCGTTGCCGCAAGTGTTTCATTCCTCGTGGCTACAATTGGCACATACGGATCGGGCATCAAGAATGCACCAGGGTGCCGCTGTGCACCAGGGTGCCGCTGTACCAGCATTTGCAGCAGCATGCATTATTGTACACGCGCGTGTGTGTGTGTGTGTGTTTGTGTGTCTTGAGATAACTCGTCGTGCGCCTGGGCCCCATGTGATAGGATAATTTTGCGCGAGGTCAGTGTGATTGTTCGATGTGTGAAGTGTTGCTCTGGTCACGTTCAAAGACCCGTACTGCCATTGATGAAGAAGAAGGCCGTTTCTCGTCATGGTTATTGTTTCCAACTTGCGATGATCTTCGAATCAAACATCTCACTCGAGCGCAGGCAGCTTCGGAACCGCAGTCTGGTAGATGGGCTTCTGTCCGCAGGGGCTGGATTGTCTACAGTGGCAGATGCACGTTTTCAGACATGCATGGGATGATAACGCTAGGGCTGCAACACCAGGCTGGTGCAACACCAGGCTGGACTAGATGTCTTGAACACCTGGATTCCGAGTGTTGAGTCGTGGGGGATGCGCCAGGACTGGACATGATACAAGCCGTCTAAGACGTGTAAATGGAGCGTAATGCGGCAAGGCATGTGTGGTATCAGGGACAGCTTGGATCATCCGGACAAGATTTATCGAATGCGAGTGTGCCGAGCAACGTTGTTGTTGTTGTTGTTGTTGTTGTTGTTGTTGTTGTTGTTGAACTCTCATTCTTGAAGAATAATTATTGTTGATCCCCCCCACCGGTGCACATTGATTTTTTTCGATTGAAGTGCCACCCCCGGGGCTCGCACCTTGTTTTTTCTCAAGGAAAGTCTTCCTGCTCAAACTGTGCCCCTGCCCCCCGGGCTACAACAACAACGGCTCCCGCCTGAGACTTCCTCGTTTTTTACTCAGGACCCCCGCTCCCGCCTGAGACTTCCGCGCAATTTACTCAGGAAAGGCGCTCCCGTCTGAGACTTCCTCGCAATGTAATCAAGACCCCCGCTCCCGCCTGAGACTTCCGTGCAATTTACGTGGGAACGGCGCTCCCGCCTGAGACTTCTTCGAATTTTACTCAGGACCCCCGCTCCTGCCTGACATTTCCGCGCAATTGACTCAGGAACGGCGCTCCCGCCTGAGACTTCCTCGCAATTTAGTGAGGACCCCCGCTCCCGCCTGAGACTTCCGTGCAATTTGCTCAGGAACGGCGCTCCCGCTTGAGACTTCCTCGCAACTTAGTCAGGGCCCCCGCTTCCGCCCGAGATTTCCTCACAATGTACTCAGGACTGCGCTCTCGCGTGCGACGTCCTCACAAATTATTCTGGAATTGCGTTTCGGCGCTCAGGAACCACGCACGCGCCAAGGACGCCTTCACAACGTGGTATCTTCCCTCTTCCTTCGTCCTTCCCCCTCCCCTTCCTCCCACTCTCCCTCGTTCTTCCCCTCCTCCTCTTGCAGGGCCCGCGCCAATTCCAATGGCGGGCAGAGAGATGTACGCCCCCGAAGGATTGTCCGCCCGTTCCGGTTTGCCCGTACGTCTAAGCCCGCCGGCCCCAGCAAAGAGAAATAATCCCCCCGAAAGGGGTGTGATCGAAGACGAAGAGGGCGGGTATCGAGGGTGTAGGGTATACGTGTTGAATGACTCGCGGGCAAGTAAGAGCGTACAGCCTTAAAATGGTTGTTGTTGTTGTTGTTGTTGTACACATGCATTATTGAGCACATATGTTCGGGCCAAGCCGCAGAATTGTGTTCTTCTGCATTCCTCGCCTGATGGCCGCACTATTGGTATCTGCGCTGTGATTAGACATGGCGAGGCCTGCGGATCTCGTTCCTCGAGTGGACTACCATTTTCATTGGGGCTCGCGACAAGAGGGTCTCGGTGCGGCCCCCGTGTGAGCGACGCAGAACAACAGGGTCGCCTACGCCGACATTGGCGCGTGAGCTGCCCGCGTAAGGTCGCGCATATGAGCCCTCGTCTCCACTGGAGCGTGCCGCGCGGGCGGCCCGCGTAAGCCACCGCGTAAGGTCGCTGCGTGGACCCGTTTTTTGATCGTCGCCCGTGCTGCCCGTGTCATGCGTCGGCGCGCAGCGATTGGCAACCCGCATGGTAAGGGTAAGGCGCCCTTCTCGAGGGTACCCCTGCATCCTTGCCTCCTCGGTCCATCCTCGGCGACTTTCGTCGGCCGCGCCCCGCTCGGAAAGCTTCGAAATGGGCATCCAAGGCCCTTGCATCCTGGCCGCGCAGCCGGTTGACTGTACATGGCACGTGGTCCGTTTCTCCCCTGACCCTTGGAGCTTCTCTTGCTCTGGGCCTCCGCACGGCTCTTCGCAGCGGCAGGCGTGGTCGCCCGCCCATGTATCCGCCCTCCCTCCCTCCCTCCACGGCCGCCCCCCTCCTCCTGGCATCGTTCGGGCGCGTGCCCCGTTTCTCGGCGGCGGACGCGGAAATCTGCAGTCCAGCTCCACTGCTCTGTCTGTGGCCGCAGGTTGCCCGCCGAAGTGGGGCCTAGATTGCATGGAGGGGCGAACGGTGGCTCAGCGCCTATCGTAGGAGGAAACAGACCTTTCCTCGGCGAGGACCATCCAGAGGAGCACCCAGGATCGCCGAGCAACAGTCAGGAGGGGAAAAAACACACAGACACAATTATTCGTCGGCTCCCAGGAAAATATAGGAAAATATGGGAATTGGGCGGGAAGACAAAAACCCAGAAAACATTGGAAAATATGGGGAATCATTTTATCTGTGTGTATTTACCTAACAGCGAAGACTGATAGGTTTCTAGTGGTCTCAAAAGAGCTCACAGATCACTCCACAGGGGGGTCCGGGCAGGTGTTGGGGCGTTTCCGGGCGGCATGAGCCGGGCTCGTTTTTCACCAACAGTCACACACTTCGTGCTCTTCGCCTTCCCAGAACTCCATTCCCAGGCCACATTCTGGGGGGCCGGATGCAACAGTCACACACAAAGTGCTCTTCGACATCCCAGAACGCCATTCCCGGGCCACATTCTGGGGGGCCGGATGCAACAGTCACACACTTCGTGCTCTTCGAGTTCCCAGAACGCCATTCCCGGGCCACATTTTGGATGCCCGGAGCCAACTGTAGGCCACTTCGTGCTCTTCTATTTCCCAGAACTCCATTCCCGGGCCACATTTTGAATGCCCGGAGCCAACTGTAGGCCACTTCGTGCTCTTCGATTCCCAGAACTCCATTCCCGGGCCACATTTTGAATGCCCGGAGCCAACTGTAGGCCACTTCGTGCTCTTCGAGTTCCCAGAACTCCATTCCCGGGCCACATTTTGAATGCCCGTACCCAACTGTAGGCAACTTCGTGCTCTTCGACTTCCCAGAACTCCCATTCCTGGGCCACATTTTCAGCAGGGGCAAGAGCACGACGAGGAGGAGGACGAGCAAGACCAGGAGGACGAGGACGAGCAGGAGCAGGACGAGGAGCAGGAGGAGCAGGAGAAGAAGGACGAGCAGGAGGAGGAGGAGGACGAGCAGGAGGAGGAGGACGACCAGGAGGAGGAGGACGACCAGGAAGAGGAGGAGGAGGAGGAGGAGGAGGAGGGGAGGGGGAGGAGTACCAGGAGGAGGAGGAGGAGGAGGAGGAGGAGGAGGAGAGGAGGAGGAGGAGGAGGAGGACGAGGACGAGGAGGAGGAGGAGGGGGGGGGAGAGTACCAGGAGGAGGAGAACGAGGACCACCAGGAGGAGGAGGAGGAGGAGGAGGAGGAGGAGGAGGAGAGAACACCAGGAGGAGGAGGACGAGCAAGACGAGGAGGACGAGAACGAGGACGACCAGGAAGAGGAGGAGGAGGAGGAGGAGGAGGAGGGGAGGGGGAGGACTACCAGGAGGAGGAGGAGGAGGAGGAGGAAGAGGAGGAGGAGGACGAGGAGGAGGAGGAGGAGGAGGAGGAGGACGAGGAGGAGGAGGGGGGGAGAGCACCAGGAGGAGGAGAACGAGGACCACCAGGAGGAGGAGGAGGAGGAGGAGGAGGAGGAGAGAGCACCAGGAGGAGGAGGACGAGCAAGACGAGGAGGACGAGAACGAGGACGAGCAGGAGGAAGAGGAGGAGGAGGAGGAGGAGGAGGAGGAGGAGCAGGAAAAAGAGGAGGAGGAGGAGGAGGCAGGCTGAGGCTGAGGCTGTGACTGCGACTGCCGTTGCCGCTGCGACTGTCATCGCGAATGCGACTACGACTGCGAGAACAGCAGAATTCGACAACTGGATTTTCATCTGAATCTTAAGGGGAATGCTTTCAGATATGCTTCTACACATCGCTGTTAGGTTGCTTTGCCGGGATAATTATTTAATCGCTTCGCTCATCCCGCCGGCCCACATTGTATCGCTGGTGCTATATGTTTGTGTGTTCGTGGCGAGCGAGAAGAAGTCGGAGGAGGGGGAGGAGGAGGAGGATGAAGAGGGGAGGATGAGGACGAGGAGGCGGTCTCTCGATGGCTTCTTGGAGTATTTTTGGGGCCAACCCTGGTCGTGGACAAGACGCCTCTTTGGGAGGCTTCGTGGGGTCTCTTGGGAGGCCTCTCGGGGGCCTGTTGGAGGTGTTTTTGGGGCCTCTTGGGGGCCTCTTGGGGCCTCCTGGGGGCCTCTTCGGGCAAAGATGTCGAAATGCCCGTTCGGGTCCCCCGTCTGTGCCCTCTCTTGGAGCCGTCTTGGGGGTGTATTGGGCCGTCTTGGAGGCCTCTTGGGCAGTCTTGGGGCCATCTTGGGCCGTTTGGGGGCCCTCTTGGAGACCTCTCGGGCCGTCTTGGGGCGGTCTTGGGGGCCTCTTGGGGCGTCCTGGAGCGTCGGAAGCTGAAAATGCGAGAACGCCAAAAAACCTTCAAAAACCAATGGAAAATCAACGATGTTTGCTTCTTGGGGCCCTTTTGGGAGGCCTCTTAGATGCTTCTTGGGCCATCTTGGAGGCCTCTTGGGCCGTCTGGAGGCCATCTTGGGCGTCGTGGAGCGATCTTCGGGTGTCTGGGGCCCCTCTTTGACCATGTTTGGGGCCTCTTGGGGCCCTCTTGGGGCGATCTGGAGCCCTCTTGGGCTCCGAAACAGAATTCCGGCCTCTGACCCCTAGTCTGCCGGGGATCTGCCGGGGATCGCCCGGGGTACTTTTCGCTCGGGGACCCCCAGGGGCCGCCCTGCGCGCGCGAACTAGAAATACTGTTTACCTGCTACCGGAGATCTTAGCACGCCCTGGCCCGTTGGGCCAGCGAATTTGTGTGTCCTTGGGCCCCTTGAAACAGTCAGGAGGGGAAAAAACACACAGACACAATTATTCGTCGACTCCCAGGAAAATATAGGAAAAGATGGGAATTGGGCGGGAAGACAAACACCCCGAAGACGTGGGACAATATGGGGCATCATTTGATTTGTGTGCATTTATTTGTGTGTCCTTGGGCCCCTTGAAACAGAGAGCACGCACGAGGTCGCCCACGGGCACGGGGCGCGGACGTCCGAGCGACGGCGAGCCTCTGCGCCTCGCGCCTCCCGCGCCCCGGCCAAGGCCTGCCGCCTCGGCCTGCGCCGCCTCGGCCGCGCCGGGGCGGCCCGCCGGCGCTGCGACCAAGCGACCTGCGCGCAACCCAGACCCCCTCGGGTCATGAAAAAATCACGACGGGAGGTTTTTTTCGCTATTTTCGGCCTCGGGGGGCTCTCCCCGGGCCTCGGGACCGTCAAAAAACGACTCAGGAGATGGAAAACCGGTCCCGGGGAATGGGTCCGGACCTCTGGGGGTCGCGTCATGAAAAAATCATGACGTCGGGGGTCTGGGAAGAAGAGTGACCCTTTGCCGGAGGGACCGCTGGTGCGGGCCCAAGTGGGGTCCCCCGATCGCCGAGCGCGCTGCGGTATGGTGGCGGTCTGCACGCCCGCGAGTTGGCTTTCCCCCCGCGGCTCCCAAGACGCCGCGCGCCAGGGGTCGCTCCTCACCCCAGAGGGTCACTCCTGCGTGCGGTCGAGCCCTCCTGCTCCTCCCTCTGGCCCTCCTGCTCCTCCCTGCACGCAAGAGTGACTCCCCGCGCGAGGGAGGAGGGAGGAGCAGGAAGGAAGCGTGCTCGCCCGCGCCTTCCTGCTCCTCCCTCTGCCCTCCGACGCCGCGCCGTCCTGTGGCCTGGGGCCCTGGGGCCGTTCGGCCCCTCCCCCGGGGCCCCTGCCTTTCCCCCCCCTCCTCCTCCTCCGCCTCCGCCTCCTCCGCCTCCTCCTCCTCCTCCGCCTCCGCTTCCTCCTCCTCCTCCTCCTCCGCCTCCTCCTCCTCCTCCTCCTCGGCCTTTCCCCCCTCCTCCTCCTCCGCCTCCGCCTCCTCCTCCTTCTCCTCCTCCGCCTCCTCCTCCTCCTCCGCCTCCTCCTCCTCCGCCCCCCACGTCGCTGCTCGGCGGTCCGGGGGACCGAGATTCGGTGGGGGGAAGCCGTGCCGATATCGACGCACCGCTGCTCGTCCTGGATATATCCCTCGCCGCCACGGGTGGATCGTCCTCGAAAGATCGGTCAGGACGCACCCTGGGAAGCGTCCGGGGAGTAGCGGCAATCGGTACCGCTTGTCTCCCCCGGGACGCGGACGTCCAGAGGCCCAAATCTCGAAGAGAGAGGTGCCGACTCGGCGACGTCGTGGCGCTGGGCGTGGCGGCTTGGCGCGGGGCGCGGGGAGGTCCACCGCAGCTTCCGCAACGGCTACTTTGTGCCCCTGAGCGGTGCGGACGTGGACCAGGTGCGCGGGGGCACACTTCCGAGGCGGGAATGTATGCATGACCATCGCCTGGAGGGTCAGTTTTCGGAGCCTCGGCAGGCGGTGGATATGGACATATTCGGGTCCCCGGTGGCCGATATATCTATATCTATATATATATACAAATGTATGTATACCTATATATATATACATATATATATATATATATATATATATATGTATTTATGTATATATATATATGTATCCAGATCCACCGCCCGTTGGGGCACCAGGACGTCGGTTCTCAGGCGGTGGATATGGCCAAATCCCCGCCTCGCAAAACTGGTGCCGCGTCTGGGTTCTTGCCTTCAGTGCCAGGGCGGATTGTGGGCCGGGGCGGGGTCGCCCAGGGGGGAGGGGTCAAAAGGGAAGGGGCTTCCCTTCGAATCGGTTGTGCCTCGAGGCGGGCCCCCTCGGGCTGGCGACTCTGCGCCGATGCCCTCGGGCTGGCGACTCGGGGCGGTTGCCCGTCGGCGCTTGGGCTTCCCGGGGAACGCTCTGGAATGCTGGGCTCTGCAAGATTGCGCTCTGTCTGTCGGCGGCGAGCGAGGGGGGCAGTGATAAGGGCCGGGCCTTCTCAGAAGGCTCGGAAGTCCCCCAGCCTTCTGAGAAGCTTTCTGAGCCTTCCCCGTAGACGCAGAGAACTTCTCAGAAGGCGCGAGGGCTTCTGAGAAGTCCCGCCGCCTTCTGAGAAGGCCTTCGCCTCCTCATGGCCCTCCCTCGCTCGCCGCCGGGCCGTTCACACACGCCGACAGGGTCGGCGTGGGAGGCCATCCGGCCCAAAGGTGTCGCTCGCCGACGTGGCGCTCGCTCAGGCTCAGCCTCCGCTGGCTCAACGTATGTATACTTTTGAATGTATGTGTCTGCGCAGATTTTCGGCCTAGCTCGATGGAAGCACATGTCGAAGACGCCTACGGCGAATCGCTGCCGCCCCCTGCCTTTTGAAGTCGCCCATGTGGCCGAGTGTTGTGACAAGAGCTCTGCCAAGCTATCGGACCATGTGTTCCCCCAACCGTTGTGGAAACCCTTCAGGGAACATTTGGGGGAGGATGGCGGGGAGGATCAGGAGGAGGAGGAGGAGGAGGAGGACGGGGCATCTTGGGAGCCCCTGAGGGCACTCTTTCGGCATCCTGGGAGCTTCCTGGGAGTCTCTTGGAGGCATCTTGGGGGCTTCCTTGGGCCTCGTGGGGGCCTTTGGGGGCTTCTCGGGGGCCTCTTTGGCCGTCTCAGGGCATTCCTGGCCCGTCTGACGCCGTCGGAAGCCGTCTTGGGGGCCTCTCTGGGCCGACTTGACACCCTCTTGGAGTGCTCCAGGGCTGTCTTGGAGGCCATCTTGGGCGTCTTGGAGGCCTCTTGGGCCGTCTGGGGGCCCTCTTGGGGCCGTCTTGGAGGCCTCTTTGACCGTTCTGGGGCCATACTGGAGGCCTCTTGGGCGATCTTTCGGGGCTCTTAGGCCGTCTCGGGCCGTCGGAAGGCCGAAGCAAATGCCAAAATCCTTCAAACACCTACGGACAATCAACACATGGGCCTCATCGGGCCTTCTCCTGGAGGCCCTCTTGGAGGCATCTTGGGCCGTCTTCAAGACCTCTTGGGGGCCTCTTGGGCCGTCATCTTGGGCCGTCTTGGTGGGCTCCTGGCCCGTCTGACGCCGTCGGGAGCTTTCTTGGGGGCCTCTCTGGGCCGACTGGGGTCCCTCTTGGGGTGCTCCCGGGCCGTCTTGGAGGCCATCTTGGGCGTCTTGAAGGCCACTTGGGCCGTCTTGGGGCCCTCCTGAGGCGGTCTTTGGGGCCTCTTGGGCTGTTCTGGGGCTGTCTTAGAGGCCTCTCGGGCGATCTTGGGGCGATCTTGCGGGGCTCTTCGGCCGTCTCGGGCCGTCGGAAGGCCGAAAACAAGCAAATGCCAACATCTCTCAAAAATCTACAGAAAATCTAGAATGATTTGTGACTCTTCGGGCCTTCCTGGAGGTCTTCTTGAAGGCCTCTTGGCCCGTCTTGGAGGCCTCTTGGGGGCCTCTTGGGCCCTCTTGGACCGTTTTGGAGGCTTCTTGGGCGGACTTGCCCGTCTTGGAGGCCATCTTGGACCATCTTGGGCGAACTTGGCGGCCATCTTGGGCCAACGTGGCCATCTCAGAGGCCATCTTGAGCGGCCTCAGAGGATTTGTTGCGGACGTGGAGGTCGTTTCCAGTCCCTTTCGGCGGCTTTCTGCGGGGCCCGCGCGTTGGGCCGAAGCCCCAGGGGGAGTCCTTTGGAAAAAAACCACAGCCAAAACCCAAACCGGTAGGATCTGGCACGCCAGGCACCCGTGTGATGAATCAACAGGGGGCGGCGGACGACAGAAAGCGGGCGTAGCGTCGCGATCCGTCCACCTCGCCGCGCCGTGGGCGAGTCCTGGCTCGAGCCGCGCCCCCCGCGCGCCGAGCCCCGGCGCCTCGCCTCGACCTCGTGCTGCCCCCGCCAGCGCCGAGGCCTGCGGCTGCAATGGTCATGCTCAGTGCGACCTCCCGGCGCTGGTGTGGGGGCTGACCTTTGGGCGCGCGCAATGGGGGGTCACAAATGGGGGGGTGGCGAGCGTGGTCCGAAAAGGTACCCAAACGGTCCCCAAACGAGCCCCCTGGGGCTCTGGAGGGGCCCGAAAGGGGCACGAAAGGGGACCTTTTCTGACCCCCCCATTTGTGACCCCCCCATTAAGCCACGCCCAAGACCTACACGCAGGCTGCGGCTGGAGGGCAGCAACGCAGCCCTGCTCAGGTGCGACGGCAGCGCCGAGGCCTGCCGCCGCAATGATCATGCTCAGTGCGACCTCCCGGCGCTGGTGGGGGGGCTGACCTACACGCAGGCTGCGGCTGGAGGGCAGCAACGCGGCCCTGCTCAGGTGCGACGGCAGCGCCGAGGCCTGCCGCCGCAATGATCATGCTCAGTGCGACCTCCCGGCGCTGGTGGGGGGCTGACCTACACGCAGGCTGCGGTTGGAGGGCAGCAACGCGGCCCTGCTCAGGTGCGACTGCAGCGCCGAGGCCTGCGGCCGCAATGATCACAGTCGGTGTGACTTCCTGGAGCTGGTGTGGGGGCTGCCCTACACGCAGGCTGCGGCTGGAGGGCAGCAACGCGGCCCTGCTCAGGAGCAACGTTCACGCTCAGTGCGACCTCCCTGCGCTGGTGGAGGGTCTGACGTACTTTTTAGTCAGCGGCCGCGGGCGAGCGCGCCAGCGGCGAGTCAGGTCCAAGCGGGCTACGCAGAGTCTAGTTAGGCAGAGGCGACGCGCAAGGCAACAGCTACGCGCCGGCCGAGGCCTCACGCAGCGGCCCAACGGCAGGTGGATGGCTGGAGGGACAGAAACTGAGTGGAACTGCCAGTGTGCAACGATGCAAGTCCGTCGGAGGCGCCAAAAATCTGAATATAGACGAAGGCCAGGGACAACTCCGAGAGAGAATGCATGATACCGAACCTCAAGCGACTGCGTGGGCACCAGGGTGGCCGTGGCCAACGAACCGCCAGTCGAGGTAGGAATGAGAAATGCAAAGGCGAGGCCCTGGACGTCGGCGTGAGAGCGAGAACAAGGGTGGTCCGAAGGACCGTCGGCCAAAGAATTGACGCCAGGAGGCGAGCGCATTGGCAGGCTGCAACTCCCAGGGTGGCGGAAGCCGAGAGACCCTGAGGCAGCAGTACGCACCCGTGCGGGAAGCGGCAAAGCCGCGACGCAGCCAACATGGCGCGGGTCACCACGTACCGATGCGTGAGAAGGTGTCAGGTTGACCCAACACGGGCCCGAATGGGCAGGCACAGGGCTGACACCCAAAGTGATGACAAGCGGAAGGGCACCTCGGGCAAGAGAAGCCGGGGCCGAGGTAACCAACCGCACGTGCCGGCGAGGGCTGCGGCTGGAGGGCTGCAGCGCGGCCCTTCTCAGGAGCGACGGCAACAGCGATGTGGCTAGCGGCCTGAATGATCACGGTCAGTGCGACTTCCCGGAGCTGGTTGGGGGGCTGACCCACGCGGCGCACTTGTTTCCAGCCATGTTCCTGCAGGCATCGCCTGACGGCGACTCGATGCGCTTCCTGACCCTCGGTGGGGCCGAGCGCTGCAGGGTCGGGGCTGGGCCCTACGTCCTCCAGATGCAAGGCATATTCGATGGAGACTTTGGGGCATGTGCGGCGCAAGCAGAAGAGCAC